TGCATTATTTAGATATTATTTTCCTGAAATTAACATTCAGATTAAATTTAAAAACCAAAATTGATTTTACTGAAAAAATAAAACACATCTCAGCTTTATAGAACGGTTAATCTTTTCGGTTATATTATTTAAATATAGATTAACATTCAAATTAAATTTAAAAAAGAAATTGATTTTATTAGAAAAATAAAATACTTCAATATTTCACCTGTAATTTTTATGTGAAAATATTAATTAGGAATATTATATTAGAACTTGAAAGCAGATCTACATTATTACTATAAAATTATCGTCATCGATGCACCTTTGATTATCTCACTCAGAATTTCATTGAGCAAAAAATTCTTTTCGGTGCCAAGGATTTCTCGATGCTAAATCTCGATTATTGATAAGTGGTATCGATCAATCGCTCGTCGACAAGTAGATTCTATTGCTCGAACGTAACGTCATCCATGCGGCGATCAATCTCTGCTATCGAGACAGTGTCGCAAGAATCACGCCGTCTATGTAAAAAGAACCTCGTTACCCTTTCATTTATGAGAGAACTTAGTCACCCTTATTACCATTTTGCGATCTTGGAAAAAGATCGCGACGTCCCGACGAAAGTCAATCTACATTCGTCGGAATCTAATAAACTTCTTTCGAGTCTAATAAAATCTCTCGCTTAATCTTCGCACTTTATATATAGATATCAGCGTAAACGTATTCATTTTGTTATAATCGCGGCAAAGAGTCATCCTAACGTTCGACATTGTCAATTATTCTATTTCGCGTCATATGTCAAAATTCGCAAACGAAACTCTCGGTAAAGAAGCATCGTGAAATTTTCGACGCGATGATCCAGCGGCCGCACCCGAAAAACTTGGTCCGTTCTAATCCATCATGGGTGCCGTTGTTCGGTAAATAGAAAATCCCGTCCGCGATGTTCGCATAACGGTATATAACGGGCGGTCTCGTGGCGAGCCGACTTGTCGCAATCGCGTCGCGACGCCTCGCCCGGTACTCGCGGATACACGCGGAGTACCTCCGCGTATTCAATCGACGGCCGTACGTGACGATGATACGTAGGCTGTGTGTTACGTCGGCGTATTGATGTAGCCGGGGCATTACATGCACCGTGTGTTCCTGTATGTACCTATCTCGACGCGCGGCGATGCGAGCTGAATGTCAATCGTCGCGCGAAACGGTTCGATACGCGCGGATTATGTGCGCGAATTTCTTCCCGCTACGTCGGGCATCGATCGTTGACGGGTGGGAATCGAAAAGGGACATCTCAGATGACCGTCTTCGTTTCCTGACGGTGCCTCGAAGAATTTGCGAGCTGGCTTCCGCGTTTGTCCCGATGAGAGAACATAATTGGTGAAAATGAAAAAAAGGTATAAATTTTTAAAATTGTGTCGATGCGGAAAATCTGGAGAAAGTATAGGAAAGACTTCATTTTATGTTAATAGCAAAATCAAATGTAAATAGTTCAAATATAATTTTTGAGTAAAGAATTTTTGCTCTCTCTCTGTCTTTGACGTAAAGAACATGCTGTTTTATTTCAAAAATTGTATTTGAAATTATATTTATATTTGCTGATTGAAAAGTTTGCAAAACTTTTTGATTTCATTGAGAATGATGTGATGTTGAGCCTTTATAATTCGATGCATCCTTAAATTTGGGCGTGTCCATTCTTTCAAAGTTGCTGCGAAGAGTTCAGACCTGACTTCCATCCCTCTTAAATGTCCAATCGTCGGTGACTTTTTTTTAAATCTTCTAGTTTTTTAGGGGCCGCCGGATATAAAGGGCCGACTGAAGATGTAGAACCATCTACCTTTGTTCGTGAAGTTAATTACTGCGCGCTCTTCGTGTAGCTTTTATAATTACTTGCAAAACTTGTTAACATAAATTGCATTTGTAAAATGTATCAATGAAGAGTACACCATTTGTTGTTGGAAAATATTTAAATATATAAAATTTATATTGTATTTTATATACATGCTACTTCTCATATTTAATCTGAGTATATTATAATTATAAGTACTCATTACAATTAAATAGAAACAAGAGTAACACATATAGATAGAGGTCTATTTTTAATTATTAAAAATATAATATAAACAATATTTTTGTTGGGAGGAATATAGTACAAATTTGATCTCTTTCTTCTCTCTCGTTAGTATAATTAGAGTTTTAATTATTATATATTCAAACTAAAAAAATAATTATGTTTGTTTGAAAGCGTGTTCAATAATTTATAATAGTGTTTAATTTAATTAGGTTTTTAAATTTTTCATATTTACTTTATATTGGAGTTTCTAATCAAATTTCTCGACTGTAAAATGAAAATTTGATCTTTAAATAGCGAGAGCACTTTTTGCGGTGAGCCAAGAGAAATATCGCAAAGGATATTTATCATAATATCAGATGACAATTATGCGGCCGATTAAGAAGGAAAATAAAATTGAATTTTACATTGTTTTATCGAAAATAATTTTTTAATTTGGGGGAAGAAGATATGCGTAGTTTACACTTACAATTAGTATATCTATGAACACTCTCAATTTCTTCAAATAATCCAATCAGTCATGTTTAGTAAAAATTTTTAAAGTATAAGTAAGTCATTTTATCCCTTACAAATATATAATAAAGTTAGACTATTTGTGATAACAATGAATAAATTATACTTAAAAAAGTTTTTTTAATTCGTTTTAATTTTTAAATAAATATATTATAGCAAATTATAATTATTTTTAGTAAAAACAAAAGTACTGCCAACAAAATATCAATTTAAAAATATTCAACGTCCAAAGTTTTAAACAATAAAAAGGAAGAGTACTATTTAAATTATTCAAATAATAATGAGATGAAGATAAGTAAGGTTTTTAAGCAACTTAAAATCACAAAAAGCTTTGATAATTAACTGACAATAAATAACAATAATTAATGTTTTTAACACACAACTCTTTGTATATTCAAAAATAATTATTATGCGCAATCTAAAGTTTTTATATTCTCTTAGCATGTTGTTAAGCAGAATAACATTTTCAACATTTGATTTGCTAATTTCATCGGTACGCAAATTTTTGTCAACTGGCAAACGTGTAGCGAATCACGTACCATAGTCCAAACAGGATACGAAGGATTAAATCTTGTTAGTCCCTAATCGCCAAATCGGAGCTGATGCTTTCGGCGTCCCATGACATTCACATTATTATATCTCGGTTCGTCGATTCGAGTTTTAACAGTCACGTTTAGATTTTGTTAAACAATGTTAGATAGAAATCCAATGTTTACCATAGCAAGGACAAAGATTTGCGAGGAATAGGTAGAGATTGTAATACTAAATTTTTAAACTTTAAATCTCTAACGAAAATGTAATAGTGAAAGTATGAAGTTTTAGAAATAATATTTATAAGTAAAAAAGCAAATATAACAAGCAACAAATATTATTAAATGTTACATTATTAAATAAAGCGCGATTAAAGAATTGGCGGAGGAAGATATCATCGATTTTTCTACTGAGAGAGAAAGAAAGAAAGTTATAAAGGAAGGCACTAGAGGGAAAGTAGAATTATTGTGTTCAGTCCACAAATCAATTTCTATTAAATTAGAGACTTGTATTCGAAGGATTATATTTTGTCGACGACTTGATACATCCTTTTCTAGTCATTAGTTTTTTTTCTTCTTTTTTTCGCCTCAATTTTATTTTTACGCAATCGGAAGAAGAGCAAAAATGTTTAAGGAAAGTAAAAATGATCATCATGAAATAAAGAGAGGGCAGTAAGACGGGTGACTGTCTCTCGGCATGGCAGTCTGGCCAGTCGATTATGGTGCCGAAACGAGCGCTGGAACGTCTTCCAACCAGTTTTGGACAGTGTCTTCGCTTGTAGCTATAAAGACAAGGATGGAGAGTTTTGACAGAATCATGAGGGAAGTATGTCTATACGAAACTGAGAAAGCGAAAGTTGAGGAAAACAGCACAATTGAAGAGGATTGTCAGAGGAAAGAAAATAAGAGAGAAACATGATTATACATATAAAAGGAAAAGTCTGAAAGCGAAGATAATGTGTACAAATGTAAACGGAAAATGATGAAAAGAGTCAAGAAAAATGGAAAAAAATAAAGCATAAGGAGAAAAATGATCAAATCAAGATATATAAGAATCAAAGAACAAAATATACAAATTTGTGACATGTCCTATCTCTTTTTTCGCGAATCATACAAGAAGAAGATGTAAAACGAAGTAGAAGTTGACTCGAGAAGAAAATGTAAGTGACCGAGGTAGAAAATCTGTGGTGACCAAGATAAAGATGGAAGCGAGAAATGGAGGAGACACCAAAAAGGAACCACCTTGACGTAGCTGAGGAGGAAAAAGAACAGCTTCGTGCCGAAGAAGACGAACAGCATCAAGAGGAAGAATAAGAAGAAAACGAGGATGAAACGCTGGTGGAGGCGGTCGCCGAGTTTGAGTTTCGGTTTCGTTCGCGCTTGCTCCACGTTGAACGGGAGCCGACGAGTGAACCTGTTCAGTGACGAGAGATGAGACGGTAGGTGGAAAGAGATGGAACGAGAATAGGAATGACAAAGATCGACGATACCCAGCCACGAGTGCATCAGCGGTGGGAACAACAGAGAGTGATAGGTTTCTTCATAAGAGTAAAGAGCATAGCAAAACGGGGAGGGAAAGAGAGAGAGAAAGTGACAGAGAGAGGGAGAGTGGAAGGGAGAGAGGGAGAGATGCAGAAGAGAGGGAGAAAGGGGAGGAGGGATGGAGGGTAGGAATGAGGGTGTGATGGAGGGAGGGAGAGAGAATGATTTTTCGTATGCGAGCAGAGAGAGAAAGAGAGAGAGAGAGAGAGAGCAACGCGAGAATGTGATAGAACAGGCGTGAGGGAGACGGAGTAAGATAGAGACGGCGAGAGAGTGCAACAGAAAGAGAAAAAGAGGGAGAGAGAGAGAAGGATAGACTTGAGGCGCTCCGCTGTCGCCCTCGGTCAGTCGCGCGCGTACCGCGGAATCGCGAGCATCTCTTCGTCTCTCTTGCTTTGCCAAGGGAGACTTCAGTGTTTGCTGCGCTTGCTTCGGCCCATCAACCGCATGTCTGGGCTAAACCGGCACGTGCAACGGGACGAAGAGGAAAAAAGTGAGGGTGATTCGGTACGGCAGGGGTGTTTAATCAGTCCGAAAGGGTGGTTCTTGATAATCTTTTAAGCTTTTCGCTTGGGAAAAGCTTCGCTCTGAAGTAGAACTCACGAAATTCTCACCCGAACGAAATAGCAAGTGAAAATAGCAGCAGTTTGCAAAGACGCTCTAGGAAATAATATTCGTGTCGAAAAATTGTTAGGCAAAGAGCTCGCAATCGGTCGCAATCGTTCAGCTGGTCATCACGAGGATTGACGAATTGGCACGTGGGAGAAGCTTGCTCTGAAAGCTATCAATCAATGCGAGGGGAGCAGGTCGCAGTGGGATGATTATTCGTTGTGAGATTGCTCGAGAGAATTGTTCGTGTTAAGAAGACAGAGAGAGAGAGAGAGGTAATATATATCGCGCAAACACAATTCGATGCGAAAACTTTCGATATTTATTGATCGGCTTCAGGAAAAATGAGTTGTCATCTCTCCTTTATTCGATGTGGAAGATAGCACGTCAAGTTCTGTAGTAATCGTAATCTTTCGCCCTAGAGTATCAGCAAGATTCATCAGATAGCATTTACCTTGATTTTCTCTTATCATTAAGTTTCGATTTAATTCACCAAGATCAATTCTTCCAATTGTGTCAGACTCAGCTTCCCGGTCGTCGGTCTGACATTCGGTTCTCGCTGACAGCTTGGCGCTCAAGGTTTTCAAGATACGCGAAGCACCCTGATAATAAACATCTCGTGAAAATCGCCCGGTCTATGTTGCTCGACATCGATTCTCCAATTGGAACGTGTGATTCCGGAGAGCCACGATAATCCCACCATGATGCGTCGAGTGCCGTGCACTCCGAGATAAGACGGTCCGCGCGAAACGGAGAGGCTGGCATCGACGTGGTGGCGACGACGAAGACGAAGACGACGACGGTGGCGGTTGCGAGGGGTGTCGGGTGTGGGAGGACAAGGGTGGCGAGGGGACAAAGAATCAATGGATCTGTAATGTGTGCAAAGTGCGATCGACACGGATACCCAGATATCGCAGATCGGGTCGCAGACGACGGAGGAGGCGAAAGAGAGGTCCTCGACGGAGACCGGGTCCGGAGTGGGATGGAGAACGAATGAGTATTTTTCGAGATTATCTGTTTGAGAGAAACGTCTGGGCAAGCTCTCTCTATCTATCTTTCTCGGCTATACGACGACGACATTAATTTTGCAGAGCGCGAAGCAGTGCATCTTGAGATACGCACGATTGATGACCGAGTGAGAAGAGCAGAAACAAAGTTGGTTTCTATATTCTTTATAAAGCGAGGCAGACCAAGGAGACGACGACGACGACAACGAGAGGGAAGAAACGAATAGGACGAATAGCACGCAATGTGTATGTGTGTGTATCTATGTGCGTGTGCGTCGTCACTGCGTCGAGGAAGCAGCAAAACGTCGACGGAGGACGCGGAGCTATTGCTATTTTAGAGCCCGCCAAATATCTTGCCGCTGGTGGTACTGCGTTGACTGTATATGTGTTCTCTCGGTCCTTTTCTTCTCCCATCCTGCCATCTCTTTCGTGCTTCCCACGAGTGTTCTCCTCTTTCTCTCTCTCGTCTCTCTTCCCCGGCTGATTCTCCCTCATGGACGAGCGACCGATTCTGCACGGATGACGCATAACATCAGCCAAAAGTGTGACCTGTGACAGGTAGGAGTCACATTTCTTTTTTTCAGTTTTATTTTTTTTTTTCCTCTCGCGACCTTGATCGCGTGGTGACCCTAAGAGCAGTGACTCATGAGGCTCCACAGCAACGAGGGTTATTGCGAATTGGGGATGCGTCGGTCTTTTGAGGGGTTGATCGAGACTTGATCGTGAGAAACTAAAACATTCCGCATGAAAACATGAAAACAATGTAACTTGATTCCATATTTTTAATTAATAATAATTATATTTGATAATCAATAATCTCATTATATTTTGCTCCTAAAAACTTTCAAAAAGTTATTATGAAAAGAATTGTGGTTCTACATATTTATCTCTTTTTATAGTGTGTTATATTTATAATAGTTGTAGGGATGTAATTCCGTAAAACTAACTTTTTCTTCTCAATTTTTTGTAACTCAATCAATCGCTGAAAGTAACATGTCTGATACCGCGTGCGTTTCGGAGCAAACTTCGAGTTCGCATGCTAATTTCGACGTATATCGAGATATTTTTACACGTGTTTCGCATCCTGCGTCATTGGTGCTTTTCAGCATAACATCGTGAATTCTATCTCATATATTAAATTTTTTGTGCAGCGAGAGAAGCATATTTATGTCAGAAATTATTATTTGTTATAATTAGATGAAAAATGCTGCATTATTGTTACTTCAAAAAACAATTGAAAAAGCAATGTCTTGTATGTTGAAAGTTTCTCATCAATCATTGATATCTGCGTTCGTGACAGATACGTCATTCTATCGCAATGATGCATTGAAGCATAATATTTTCAGTAATATCGACTATCTTTAATAATAACGTCAGTGGGTCAACGTCGTGCAATATTACTAATTTATCATGAAATGCGTAGCATGAATTGCATTTCAACATTCCAGCTTTTGCGCTTCATTTTCGTTTAAAAATTCTTTATTTTATCGTTTTAATATTTATATATTTTTGAAAATTAGTAACACCTGGTCTGAAAAGTATGCAACATCTCTAATAAATTGTGTTAAAACACTGCAAATGATTCTATTATATTAAGAAAGTGAATAATTGACAGTGCTGGGGAATAAAGTATAAAAAAGAAAATGGAAAAACTGATTATATAAGAATATATGCAATAAATATTTACAAAAAAAAATATGATTGATAAAATATTGTAAAAATTTACTAAAGCTTTTTAATTTGTCAACTTTGACTCACTAATTTCAGTTTTAAAATATTTTTTATCTTCGATATGAATAAAGCGAAATCTCTTCTCTATTGATATAACGATACGATAGCATATCCGTGATTTTTTTTCATCGGTTAGTCAAGCTCAGTCCGCAGAAATTCGTGTTTTCTCTCGCGCATTGTCATGGCGCATGGACCGGACGTCGCTTGCCATATCTCCCACTTGGGCTGAATTATACACGAGGGGGATAAAATTCGAGACTGCGCGACGCGACGCGACAGCCTCGCTTGGGAAGGACCTTCGAAAATTCTTAGGAACGTGAGCCGTCACATTGATGAGCGCCGATTAGCGAATAAAGTTATAGGTATGTCTACCTGATCGATTGAATAAATACGAGAGAGAAGAGAGTCCCTCACTCGAATTCATTTGCGCGAAATACCTTTGCTATTTGCAAAGATCCGGCAAGGGAAATTGCTTTGGCGAATTTGTAATCGAATTATAGGAGCGGAAGAAAAGTTAAAATATGATACAAGGATTTTTTTTCCTCGAAAGATTATAATTTAGATCTCGATTGTGACCACTTTAAACGAGGAAGAGCCGACTAATGATATTCCACGAGTCTCGCGGTGAGAAGCAACAAAAAGTTGGCTTCGACTTTGTATATAATTGGCACTGATCGTGAAGGAGAAACATTCACTTTTCAGTTTCCTCCTTGGTTTTCTCCACTCAATGATTTTGATGAAAGAAATCCATCTATAAGAGGATATATATCAAAACAGTTTAGAATCTTTTTTTCAGGTAATTAACTTTACGTTTGTTCTTTTATGTTTTCTGAGGCAACTTAAGCATCTGTTAAATTATAAACATTCTATTATTTATTCATTACATTTTTAATTACTATTATATTTTTATTAAATTTATAGTTTCATTAAAGTTAATATATTTTTAAAATTTATTCATATATATTTACGTTATAGTTATTTTAAATTATGTATAAACTCTAATATGAAATTCAATTTTTAGTATGAATATAATGTGAACACATTATCATAAAAAAAGAAAAATTTAAATACATTTAAAAATACATGTATGATAATATAATATTTAAATTTTTAATAATGAAAATAATGAAAATATCGAATATTTCGACATTTGCAAAAGTTAGTGAACACGACTATTATGGTGAATAGATTGATGAATTTTTTTTGTTCTGGTTCAAGTATCGAGTATGATTGATGGATATACATAATCATAGTCATGCGGCAAAGTAATAACTCGCATCATTACGCTGTCACTTGTATAGGTATACTATATACTATATTTGCATAGTCACGCGACATAGAAACGCGAACATTTCAATGACCGACAAATTTCGTGATTGCTTTTAACCATTAGTAGATTAACGCTCAAATAGTTCTGTATCCCTGATTATAAATTTAGATGTTTAATTTGCTCGCTTCTCGCATAAGTTTGATTTGGATTTTTCAAAAATATTATAAAAATTATATTTATCATAAATATATTACGTTTATGTAGTTTGTTAATTAAAGTACAACCAGAGTATTATATATGTATATGTAAATCTCATAAATATTCATATAAGTACTTGAGTTTTCAAACTCCTCTCACATGTAACGCTTATGGTCATAATACGAGCACGTTTTTGATATTATGCGTGTATATAAGTTATATGTGAGAATGTTACATGTAGATTTTTATTCTAATTTTTATTCTCTATATCCAGAAATTCATTTTGACGGGATAGATTTTATTCGTACGCATATATTTGTTTTAGACGCACTCGCGTATAAAACATACCGGTGCTGTATTCTTCTATTGTATTCTAGAATATCCTCTCATTGGAGTAATAACCTTGACCTCCCTCGCAAATTTTTATCGTACCCGAGAAGCCTACGAAACACCATCCTCTACGTACGTGCCTCTTTGCTTATCTTACTCGTAATATCGTGCTTGAGCAGTGTGTTAGAGTCCGAGCGTTAGTTGAGCAAATATTAGTTGTAGAAACAAGTAGATATTAACTACATTATACTAACGGATCAATGTGCCCGCGAAAATGCGTCGCTAATTATGCCTCCACGTTTCGTGGATAAAATACAGTTCTAAAACGGGTTTCTTAGAGTAGCAAATAACTCTGTCAAAATCATAAAAAAAAAAAAAAACGGCGTTTTACGTCATTATATTTTTATGCTGATATTTTTCATATATTTACAATAACGATAAAAATGCTGTATTATATTTTTATCCTCTTTAATTTTGTTATTTTCTTTTTTTTTAAGAGTTGAAGAATTGTGCAATACATTACATCATGACTGGGTCTTTGATTACCGTTGCGACACTTTGATAATAGGGTCATGATAAATAAATAATTAATTACATTAAAATATCGGTAATCATCCGAGTGACGTAAGTTGACTTTGATTTAAATTGTATATAATTTTGTCTTATCGGGGATACTGATATAGAATAAGTTTCTGCAGTAAAATGCGATGCATTCCGCGAGTGCGATTTCTGCCGTGAAAATCCATCTGTCGTTTCGATTCGTCGGTGGTGCGAATTCCATCGAAAAAAATTGACGTGACTGCACACTTTCGCTTTCGTTAAATTAACGTTGTAATTTTATAAATACTCTCATTAAACCGGTTATCGATATCGGTGCACGCTGCGTTTATTATCATTCGCGTCCCGGTATCCGAGCAACCTTTGAATAACTCTAATTCCGAGAACACGCGCGCGATTACGTCCATACTCAATTCCCGAGTACATTTTCGTATAGACATACAACGTATAAGTATGTTTTCTCTCTACTGCGAAGCTTTAATCTGAACACGAAGGTTATCTATCGCGTTCCGATTCCGCCCGAGCAGAAAGAGACGTCAGAGAGTCAAGCTGATACTTTTACTATCGTTAAAGAGCAGGGATAAATCGTATCTATCAAATATTTGGAAATGATGTTATAAAATGTCATTAAAAATTTAATCTCTTTTCTTCTTCAAAAATTCCATATTGAAAAATAAAAAAGAGGCATAAAAAATATAGAAAAAAAAAATATAAGAGAATGTTACATCTTATAAGTATATACTTTATATAAAATATGGCGTAAATGAGTTAACTGTACAAGAATAATCAGATGATTATCAAATAAATAATGAAAGGATCGGTTGAAATGGTTACACAAGAGGAAGTGATAATACAAGCGGATTCACAGAGCAGAAGGTTTAATATCCTCTATACGGGCCGGCACACACAGGAAGACATACGGTCACGATCTGCAGTCGCAGAGGAGAGTCCGAGCGACACGCCTCGCGCCCATTACACGATCCATCGATCGCGATAAAATAACGAGTTGCCAATATCGAAGCCGAATTCGCCATCCAGCTCTTCATATGGTATAAGAACAGCTGATGGGCGGTGATTTTGCTTTGATGCCCGCTCGCTTATCGATTGATGGATTCGAGCCGTGCACAACCTGTTACTTCATTATCAAAATTATCATCAAATGAAATAATTCGAATGAGTCATGTCTTATTAAGTCCCTTATCGTCCTCTTATTTCTGCTTTTAAGCTAGTCAAATTTCCTTTATCACATTTAAGATCTATCTTTACACATATCCGTGACATATCAGTGTCGTATCCGTTTAGTTCCGTAATTTTACTGTCGGTGTCAGTGAAAAAAACATTATTGAACAAAGGAACGATCAATTGTCAATAGCTGTCAATTTTCAGCGTATAATAATTGCGAATCGATAAATACTTTTTATTTGTTAGACGGAGCATCCTTTGCGCGAATTTCTCGATATATTCGGTGTCG